CATCCGCTGAGGTTCAGGAGTCCAGAGCGTTGGGGCTTCGTTAACGAGAGTCAGACAATGTCTAGTTGGTACTTTAGGGCTTCAAACTAACTCTTGTTCTTTCCCTCTGAGTGAGATATACTCCAATTGAGTAAGGATATTTTCCAATTTGCGACTGTAAACTCCCACTGGTGGTGTCGTTCTCGTGGACCCTTTTCTGACGTGCTATGATGGCATCGCGCTGTCTGCCTTCTCCGTTCAGAACGAGTAGCGGCTCCGTTGCTGAGTGGTATCTTCAGCGTCGTTCCGTCAATGTGCTTCAGCTACACTCTCAGCTGGCATAAGGCGATGAGTAGATTCTAATCGCGGAGTTTTTGCAGCCTGCCTCCGTCTCCCAACACCCTGCGCGGCCCTTGGTAACCCGTACGGCAACCGAGTGTCTTTTTTTTCAGTTTTATATATACTTGACCAGTTTGTCCTGTTTCTGACTTTTAAAGAGTTAGCTAAGTAGTATGCAGACCATATCGCGTTCATTAAAAATATTCGAGATTAGCAGCATTATCGTCAGTACTTAACATATGCATGACAAAACCAGGACTCTATTTTGTAGCAGTTGTTGCAGATCATCAGTTCACTACCACATTCACTGTTCATTAAATCCTATATTTGAATATTTCATGACTTCTTAATTTAAAGCTACTCTTCCTTGAAATATAATAATTAAACCCGTTTTAATTAACTTTGTCATCAGTTTAATTTGTTAATCAGTTTTAAATATCTTATTAATTTTTGTCTTAATTCGGTCAGAGTATATTTCTGAACGAGTGTGAATCGTTGTCATATGTGCAATATTTTATTTTCAGGGAGGACCTGATGAAGCTTGCTGCGGTGATCGGCAGAGACAACCTTCGATCCTTTGGCACATGTTTAGGAAAATTCACGAAAGGAAAGAAATTCTATCTCCATGTTACCGCCCTTGTATACCTGGCACCATATGCGAAGGTACAAAACCACATGTTGCCTAAAAACAGTCCGGTGTACTAAATTGCCTCAGGATTTGGCAGTATTAATGGTTTGACTACGAGACTTAATTAAGAATGCATGATGCTCAAATAAAATTATTTAATTAGTGCAGTTGTATGTTGTTCATCTTATAGCCTCACATCAAATAGGATACAGAAGACCTCGGCATAAGATTCTGTTGGGTGTACTTTTATTTGTTTCATGTACAGTTGTTAATCTCGATTTACTCATTTTGCCAATCACGTCTGACAGTAAATTTCGTTTTCCCGAGATTGCTTCTTAGCAAATCATTGTTAGATCTTTTTCTTTTTCAGTTCGCTCATAGCAGCCATTGTACTGGTGTTAGTTGTGGTTTTCAGCTTCAGATGTTTACAACTGTTGACATAACTTATTTGTGAAGTCTGCTGCATTCTCCGCCGTTTAATACTGAGAAATATGTTTGTACTTCGAAGCATGCCAAATGGCCCACAACTCCTTCAAAAGCAGGCTTCACTATGTATTGCATAGAATGCTTTGCTTCTTTGATTTTCTTATGGCCATTTAGTAAGCCGTAGCTCCATCATATTTGAGCATATGCAGTACCAGATGCATCCAGCAGCAGTTTTTGCTAGAACCATTTTGGGCTGATCATTAACCATATATATGGCAGTGTTACTCATGCTGTGCCGTATGATGAGGCAAACCCCTGAAACATAATCCGTAATGAGCGCGACACAGCTTTAGCGGCCAGAATTCTGCTGGATGCATCTTTTACAACAGGTGCGCAGATACCATGGAGTTATGACCGACCCAAATGGCCATAAGTAACCTTAGGTATCAAACGGACAGTTCACTACACCGTGAAATCTGGACTTGGAGGAGTCATTCGTGATTTGATATGCTCGGACATGTGAACAGCCTATGATGTTTATGTGGTAGCAAGTCAGGAGTACTAGTTCCTAAAACATCGTTCGTGAAATTTGGTCTTGGAGGAGTTATGACTGTTGGAAGAGTTGTATGTAGTTTATGTAGGGTACTGTGGCAGATTTTGAGGCTCCAGATGGCATCATATGTTGTATGTCGAATTTACGCACAGGTTAACTGAAGATGCGTGACCGTGGAAGATTGCATCCTTATAGCGGCTTGTTTGATTTTTCTTGACCTGCATCATTTCCCTATCTACTTGAATGCGATGCATCAGAAGTTTAAAATTTAATCATGTGATATATTTATATTAGCTATTAAACTTTTAATTCTGCTTAAGCCATAGTCAATTCTGTGTTTCATTGGTAGTCAGCCGAACGTATTTCGCCACTATGATTAACAAAACTTAAATCATTCCTCGAACCATATTAAGTTAATCATAAAAAAATTGTCTCCATGTTTATGCCTTCAACCATCGCTGTAGCACAGGTAATGCCATGAGAGAAAGTCCGCTATTTGGCTTCTGTATTTCCTTGTGCAGAAGTTGCTGCTTTCTGAGCTTTCTCAGACTGTTCTAACGATGACACTCTGGAATCTACCTTATTTTAATTCAGTTAAGAGTAATGGAGGGCTGTTTTCACAAATTTTGTTCGTATGCCATTTACCGGTCTTTTTCACGGCAAGTCACTGTACATCTGTTAGGTGTGTCTTGGAAACTGTTGAATACAGACTAATTATAAGTTTCTTCCTTTATAGTATAAATTATGGCTGAAGCCGAACGCAGAACAGCAGTTTCTGTACGGTCACCATGTGCTTAAGTCGGGAATTGCCAGAATGGCCGACGATTGTCCGCGAAACATTGGCGCTCTCGTCTTCAGTCTCAACGACATACCACTGGTAAGTGCCGATGCTGAAAATAATTATGTTGCTGAGTTTTATTATTATTTTATATATTTAATATTAAGCAAATTTCTAATTTATTGATTTCACCTTTCGTTGGTGAAAGATCAGCTGTGGGATGAGTTCAGTGCAGATTGCGGCCCCATAGTTATGTCTGTTGGCTGACTCGATTGCACATGTTAATTTCGATAATGCAGGCACACATACAGATACTCATCTCAATCACAACCTGTTTT